ATGAGAACAGGGATATCTGTTATACTGCCTTGTACTTGGAAGTTCCTCAGTAAGCATCTGTTGAATAAGTAATTGAAAATATCCAAATAAGTAATTGAAAATTGTGTGTGTGTGTGTGTGTGTGTGTGTGTGTGTGTGTGTGTGTGTGTGTGTGTGTGTGTGTGTGTGTGTGTGTGTGTGTGTGTGTGTGTGTGTGTGTGTGTGTGTGTGTGTGTGTGTGTGCGCGCAAGCGCGCAAGCGCGCTTGTGTGCGCGCAAGCGCGCGCGCAAGCGCGCGCAAGCACGTGTGTGTATGCGCCAGTCCTGGGGGAACTCAGGGCCTGGATGCTGTCTCTGTTTTTTTCTCAAAGCTTATACTCTACCACTTGAGCCATACCTCCACTTCTAGCTTTTTGGCGATTATTTGGAGATACAAATGTCATGGACTTTCCTGCCTAGTTTAGCTTCCAACTGCAGTCCTCAGATCTCAGACTCCTGGGTGACTAGGATTATAGGCATGAGCCACCGGTGTTTGGCTCAAATTATAATGTTTTAATTATAATATTTGAATAATTGAAGCTCCTCATATATATCTACATTATAAAACGTTATACTTCTATTTGTTAGTGACACTGATCTTCACAGTGATCCCCTAGCCTTAAGTATGGACTAAATTTCCCTGAATTACATCCTCAAGGCAGTGCCTTATCTCATTAACTTAAATTTATGTTTATCTTATTAATATTTCTACTTTTTATTTAAAAGCTCAATGAATTTAGGAACTTCTTGTTCTCCTAATATTTAACATACTTCTATCAGATAAAGAATGTATATATATACATCATATATAATTCATATTATCCTTGTCTTTCAGATGAGAAAAACTGAGGTTTGGAAGGATTAAATGATTTATCCAAGAAAGTTACCTACAGAGGGCTGGGAAGGTGGCTCAGTGGTAGAGCACTTGCCTTGCAAGCCTGAGGCCCTAGGTTCAATTCCTCAGCACCATATAAGCAAAAAGAAAAAAGCCGGAAGTGGTGCTGTGGGTCAAGTGGTAGAGCACCAGCCTTGAGCTGAAGAGCTGAGGGACAGCGCCCAGGCCCAGAGTTCAGGCCCCACGACCGGACCCCCCCCCCCCCAAAAAAAAAAGAAACCTACAGAAATAAGATTTTTAATATCTTCTGACTTCCAATATCACATTATTTCAACTCACCCCGTAGTCCCTAGACAAAAGTTTTTTTGTGTGTGTGATTTTTTTGTTTTTTTTTTTGCCAGTCATGGGATTTGAACTCTGGGCTTGGGCTTTCCTTGTGTTCTTCAGCTCAAGGCGGGAGCTCTACTGCTTGAGCCACAGCGCCACCTCTGGTTTTCTAGGGGTTTATTGGAGATAAGAGCCTCACAGACTTTCCTGCCCAAGGCTGGCTTTGAACCGTGATCCTTAGATCTCAGCCTCCTGAGTAGCTAAGATTACAGATACGAGCTATTGGCGACTGGCTCTAGACAAAAGTTTTGATCAGAATTCCCTAAGAAGATTTTGACAGTATATATTATCAGACCAACTTGAAATGAGAACTCAGAGTTGAGATCTTGAACTTTAAAAAAATGAAAACTACTATCAATATGGTCTTGGAATCAATGATTTAGACTATGGAATGGTAGAGTACTCTTTGGGAACCAAATTAAGCCTACTACCATTTTATTTATGTATTATTTTTGTTGTTATTGTTGTTTTGTGCCTACTACCATTTTATTTATGTATTATTTCTGTTGTTATTGTTGTTTTGTGTGTGTGCTAGCATTGGGGCTTTGAACTCAGGGCCTCATTCTCTCAATTGCCTTTTTCAATCAAATCTACCACTTGAGACACAGCTCCATTTCCAGCTTTTTACTGGTTAATTGGAGATAAGAGTCTCAACAGACTTTTCTGCCCAGATTGGCTTCAAACTTCTATCTTCAGAACTCAGTCCCTTGAGTAGCTAGGATTATAGGTTCAAGCTATCAGCATCTGACAGTACTACCTGGTTTTGTTTGTGCCTTTGTCTTTGTCATGTGTATGTCTATATGTGCTATACTGGGACTTAAACTCAGGGTCTGGCTGCTGTATGTAAGCTTTTTGCCATAGCTCCACAAATGTATTTTTTTTGGTGATTGATTAGAGATAAGAGTCTTCATGGAGTTTCCTGTCCAGGCTGCCTCCAAATAACGATCAGTCTCCAGAGTAGCTAAGATTACAGATGTGAGCCACTGGTGCCTCGCTCTTTCCTATCTGTTTTTTACACTAAAGTTTTAATCAAACATAGCCATACTCTTGCTTGTGTATTGTCTAGAGCTGTTCTCACACTACAATACAGAGTTTAGTAGTTGTGACATATACCATAAAGCTTAAAAAGCAAGAATTTTTATTTTTGGTTGTGGGGCTTAAACTCTGGGACTTCCAGTTTTCTGGTGGTTAATTGGAGATAAGAGTTTCATGGATTTTCTTGCCTGGGCTGGCTTTGAACCACAATCCTCAGGTCTCAGCTTCCCAAGTAGCTAGAATTATAGGCGTGAGCCACTGGTGCCTGTCTGAAAAAAGCAAACAATTTTTATTCTCTTTATTTTAAACTTTATTCTCTACATTCTTCTAATCTATACTTTACTGTCTGACATTTCTTGTGTTACTATTTTATTGCTTATGGAGACTATGTAATATCTGACTAAACATAATAGTAGGCATTCCAGTATTCTCATTGAGTCAATAAAAATTCATTTACTGTGCAATTTAATAATTTGGGATTAAATTTTAAATTACTCAAGCAGTAAATTATAAGAAAATATTAACAAATTATGGCTCAAGCCAGTTAACTATCACCGTGGATAGACTACATTTAACAAAGAGATTCCTTATTGTTCAGTTTATAGTAGAGTATGACCTAACATGTAAGATTTGACTGGTTTACCATACACCATAGGAATTGATTACTATAATTGTATATAATAGTAAAGTGTAATTAATACTCTTAATTGTTGTGGTACCCCTGACACTGCCATAATTCTTTTTTTTTTTTTTTTGTCGGTTGTGGGGCTTGAACTCTGGGCCTGGGCGCTGTCCCTCAGCTCTTCAGCTCAAAGCGAGTACTCTACCACTTGAGCTACAGCGCCATTTCCAGTTTTCTGGTGGTTTATTGGAGATAGGAGTCTCACGGTCTCTCCTGCCCAGGCTGGCTTTGAACCGTGATCCTCAGATCTCAGCCTCCTGAGTAGCTAGGATTACAGGCGTGAGCCACCAGCGCCCAGTTTGCCATAATTCTTAAGACCAAAGTCTCTTGGGTAAATTTGGTTAGAACTCATGCTAATGCTAGCAATAACCTTGGACTGACCAATCCTGTGAATCTGTGAAGATAAATCTATTAGCTGTCAGGCACATGTAGGCAATTATTTAAAATTAAGTAAAAATTAAAACTTACTTCCTTACATTAGTTACATTTCAATGTTCAGTATTTGCATGTGGCTAGTACCTTATTGTATAGCACAGATATAGAACATTTCAATCAGCACAGGAAATTCTGGGCTTGCTGCTCTAGATGCTACAGTTTAAGAGTCTCAGTCCAGTGAAATCCAAGACTTTGATTTAATTTTTTATTTGTAAAGATGGAGAAATAATTTGTGATGTTTTCTTTATTCTCATAGCAAACAGTAATGAAATATATTCAGTCCTTGATTTAGGATTCTCTCAGATAAGAACAAAATCTTTATTAAATTCTGATAACTGCTTTAAATCTTCTCTCCAGAATCATTTACCCTATGAACTATCTGGTCAAGATGACTGGTCATTGAATATCTTATTAAATGTTTCACGACTGACTGGTTCCTGGCCAAATCTATTTGACTTAGTTGAGGAATATGGGAAAGGATTCAGCTTTAAATCAGGAGCTATAAAGTCAGTATAATGTAAAGTTTTAGCATCATCTTTGGAGTGATTTAGATTTAATCATTCAGTGACTCATTTTTATTCCCAGCATCTAGTGCTTTTCGTATGGTCCAAAGGGGCCCTGTGCTGCTCCACCTCAGAGGAAACTTCAAGAAATGCTGGTTTGCTACAGTGTTTTAGCTTGTGAGAGTCTCTGGGACCTTCCCTGCTCCATCATGGGGTCACCTCTAGGTGGGTATTAGGGGGAGATTACTAATTGGTTTAATTTTTAAAGAATTTGGTCCATTGAGATCTGCATTTAACAGCAGTCTATCCCTTAACATATTTTCCTGGCCCCAGCATAGTGTCATCTTAAATATTAATTCTCTAAAATGTGTTCTATAAACATTGAGAGACTCTAACATAACTTCAAGAGGCTAAAAGATTTGGTAAACTCCTCAATTTGTTCCTGTTTACTGTTATCAGAAACACTTCCCAGGTCCTTCTTTTCTCTAGATTATGAGATCTTTGTCATTTCATACCTCAGAGCAATGCTGTTATGACTGAAAGGGAAATGGTATGGGAGTAGGTGAGAGAAAGCCAGTTTTAAGAGTAAGGGCTCAAGTATAATCTCACTTCTGGCTTCCCCTCTCCTCAAATCCTCTCACTTCATGTCTCTAGATAGCTTTTCCTTCATTCATCTTAAGCTCAGCTAGTAGGAGCCAACTATACAGGATGTCAAAAGCTGTCAGTTGACAGCAAGGAGTCTCTTCAGGAGTCAAGTTGTTCAAAAGGAATCTCCCTACTCACTTTCTGTTTCTTCTGTTTTCCATTAGCTTCCTGGTACTTTGAGATACTAGTATGCCTTACTCTGACATTTTGGATCATTTTAGGAACTAATATTAAGAATACTTTAGGTCATCTTGAGTATTTGATTTCAAAATATTATTCTAAAATATCCACTCAGGTCACCCAGATTCTCCTTCCTAATATAGCTTTTAGCCCAAATAGGAAAAAAATAGTTTTCTTATGCTCAAAACAGTTTGCAGATGGATTAGTGTTTAGTGTAGATTACCCAAAAGCATGTTTCTTTTTAAAGTTGACTGTGATAGAGATTTCTATTTTCTTTACAGGTCATTTTACCTGGGACAAATACCTAAAAGAAACATGTTCAGTCCCAGCGCCTGTCCATTGCTTCAAGCAGGTAATTATTTTTCAAAATCATTAGTGGGAAACAAAAAGGGTTTATTCTTGGTTCTTAAAAAATCAAAAATATTATATGAGAGCCTTTTAGCTTCTCATTTGAGTGTCCTAGAATAAACACTATAGGAGGACTCAAGAAGTAAAATATGAGCTGGGCACCAGTGGCTCACGCCTGTAATCTTAGCTACTCAGGAGGCTGAGACCTGAGGATCGCGGTTCAAAGCCAGCCTGGGCAGCAGAGTCTGTGAGACTCTTATCTCCAATAAACCACCAGAAAACCAGAAGCGGAACTGTGGCTCAAGTGGTAGAGCACTAGCCTTGGACTGAAGAGCTGAGGGACAGCACCTGAACCCAGAGTTCAAGCCCCACAACCAATAAAAAAAAAAAGGAAGTAAAATATGGTCATTGTGAGTTTTATCAGTAGACATTCTCCTCACTTCATTCCAGATAGCACCATTTCCTTTTTTTTAACCTCCTTAAAGATATTCTGGCCGGGCGCTGGTGGCTCACGCCTGTAATCCTAGCTACTCAGGAGGCTGAGATCTGAGGATCACGGTTCAGAGCCAGCCGGGGCAGGAGAGACTGTGAGACTCCTATCTCCAATAAACCACCAGAAAACCGGAAGTGGCACTGTAGCTCAAGTGGTAGAGTGCTGGCCTTGAGCTGAAGAGCTGAGGGACAGCGCCCAGGCCCAGAGTTCAAGCCCCACGACTGACAAAAAAAAAAAAAAGATATTCTGTATTACTGAAAAATAAACCTCAATTTTTATTGTAGTTCTTACTTAAGACAGATAAGAGATTTATAGTCTTTAGATATAAAGGAAGCAGGCAGTGTTGATTTTTCTATACTTAGTCCTCTACCAAAATCTTACCTTTATTTAAAAACATTGACACCTAGTCTCACTGGGGAGCATTTTAGAAGCTCAGAGATCCTTTAGAGCTTTCCACATACAATTTAAGAGCTTCAACCAGTGCACAGGTAATGTTGATTGTGTCTGTATAGGATCAGACAAGTCAGCAAAGAAACAAACATTGCTAAACAGAATGAAATATCAGGAAATCAGGAAATTATTTAAATCTCTTTTCTTTTAGTACTCTGTTATTTCTTTTGTCAACATTTCTCTTGGAGTTTTATCTATGTCCTAAGTAAACACAGAATCTCAGGACTTGTGCTCATTTGAAATAATACAGACAAGGTTCATATTTTCACCTGAACATTTTTTAAAGGAAAATACAGTAAACAATAGTTTTCAAGTCACTAAATAGTGGTACCTTAGACCTGAGAAACAAATTAACTAAGCCTTGTATCATTTCCCAGCTTACTACCTTACAAACATTTTCATATCATGGTCTTGGGATGTGGAACCTATGCTGAGCCAGCAGACTCCCTAATTAGAGGAACTGGAACTGAGAGTCCAGGGTCACCAAAGTGGCTAAATGTGCAGGAAAAATACTAGAGAAGAGAAAACTTCACAGGAAAAAAACCCTCATAAAAATTGTAAGAGAGTCCTGAGGTATTTAGGAAAGTACTAGTTTTTAATACATGTATATGAGGAAACCACCTAAGACCAAAAAAAAAACCATCTGAAAGGATTGGAAGAAAGACAAGACTGTGGGCTGGGAAGGTGGCTCAGTGGTAGAGTGATTGCCTTGCATGCCTGAGGCCCTGGGTTCGATTCCTCAGCACCACATAAGCAAAAACAAAAAAGCCGGAAGTGGCACTGTAGCTCAAGTGGTAGAGCACTAGCCTTGAGCTGAAGAGCTGAGGGACAGCGCCCAGGCCCAGAGTTCAGGCCCCACAACTGGACCCCCCCCCCCCCAAAAAAAAAGACAAGACTGAAAATAGTTCTTGATCTCACCAGCTCACCTAGAAAATCACTTAATTCATTGACTACTAGATTGAATACAGGTCCAACAAATCATAAAACTAAGACTTGAAAGATCAAACTGTCCCTATGTAACTCATATGGGAACATTACCCAAGAAAATGTATAGAAGTGTAGAATGTATAGAAGTCCAGAATCTAACAGACAAAACTCACAATGCTTATGTCTAATTAAAGATTACTATGAATGCAAGGAGGCAGAAGAAAATAATGATAGAATTATCAATTGACTTTGGACCTACATATATCATAGAATAGCAGATAAGCATATGAAACTAATATTGTAATGGCTTGATATGTCCAAAGGTTAGCAAAAAAAGAGATGAAAGGTAAAAAATGATTCACTGAGCTACTATATGTGAGATGAAAAGCACTAGATGTAAAGGAAAGATTAGTAAACTTGGAACTTGAAGGTATAACAATAGAAACTATACAAAATGAAATATAAAGAAAAAAATGAAAAATGTACAACCATGGGATAGCTTTAAGTGGCCAAGTGGACATATAGTTGGAGTTTATAAGAGATGAAAAGGGAAGCAAAGGCTGGGTGCTGGTGGCTCATGCCTGTAATCCTAGCTGCTTAGGAGGCTGAGATCTGAGGATCACGGTTCAAAGCCAGCCTGGGCAGGAGAGACCGTGAGACTCCTATCTCCAATAAACCACCAGAAAACCAGCGTAGCTCAAGTGGTAGAGCACTCTTGAGCTGAAGAGCTGCAGGACACTGCCCAGGCCCAGAGTTCAAGCCCCACGACTGACCAAAAAAAAAAAAAAGAAAAAAGAAAAAGAAAAGGGAAGCAAGTATGTGAAGAAATAATGACTAAAATTTTTCAAACACTGAGGAAAACTATAACTCCACAGATCTAGGAAATTGAATGAATCCCAAAAATTAAGGAACAAAAAGAAAAATACTCTGAAGCACATCATAAGTTATCCAAAATCATTGATAAAGAAAACCTTAAAAGTAACCAGAGAAGTTTTGAAGATAAACTATGATTTATTAAAGGTACTCACTGTAAATCCTAGAGCAACCACTAAAATATTGGAAAAGAAATACTAAAATAGTATATGTAAACTTAGCCATATCAGTTATCAAATTAAATGTTAATGTTCTAAACATTCCATTAAAGACTGAGATTGACACAGTGAATAAAAAGTAAGGTCCAGCGTATATACTGGCTGCAAAAAATTGCACTTCAAATATAAGAACAGAAATAAGTTAAAAGGGTGAAACACGGTAATACTATGTTGACATAGCACTCAGCACATATTAAAAAAGAAGAAAGGTTTTAATTAATGACTTCATCTCCCACTTAAGAAAGCCTAGGGGGAAAAAAAAAGAAAGCCTAGGGGATAAAAAGGAGCAAGTTAACTAAAGTAAACAGAGGGCAGGAACCAGTAAAGACTACAGCATGAATAAAAGAAAAATAATAGAGAAGGCTATTGAAACCAAAGTTGGTTCTTGCAGGGAGCCAGTGGCTTATGCCTATAATCTATGCTACTCAGAAGACTGAGATATGAGGAAACCAGATCTGACTTGAAGCCTGCACCGGCAGACAAACCCGAAAGACATTTATTTCCAATTAACCAGCATAAAGGCAAAACTGGAGGCATAGCTTATAAGTGGTAGAGCTCTACCTTTGTCCAAAAAAACAACAACAAAGGAGAGTTCAAGGTCCTGTTTTCAAGCCCTAGTATAGGCACAAAGAAAAGTTGATTCTTTGCAAAGACTAAGGAAATTGATAAGCCTCCAAGCACAGTGATCTAGAATAAAGAACAGAAGAGACAAATAGAAGACATTTAAAAGATACCTGAAATGAGAGATAATAATCAGTATAGATTCTACAAATGCTGAAAGAATTAAGGAAGTATTCTGAACAAGTACATGTTTTTAAATGTGGGAAACTAAGTTGAAATGGATAACTTCATGAACAATACAAATTACCAAAGCTCAATCAAGAATATAGACAACCTGAAGAGCACTATTTGAGTTATACAAATAATACCTAAAAGCTTTTCTGCAAAGAAAATTATATAGTTTAGAGACTTCACTAGTGAATTATTTCAAACATATAAGAAGAAATATTCGAAATTCTACATAGATTTTTTTTCAGAAGACTTAAGAGGAGGTACTTCCAGTTATATGAGGTGAACACCTTACAGCCAAAACAGGCAAACACTTGTGGATTAAACCTCACAAGGATATAACAACAATAAAAAAAAATAGACTAATATCCCTTATAACACAGGTACAGTATAAGTGTCCTCAATAGAATACTTGCAAATTGAATTCAAGAATACATCCAAAAGCCTGGATACTATAATCAAGTTTGTTGGTTTTATTCCCAGGATACAAGAATGGTCCAACATATGCAAATTACTAAACATAATATATTACATAATAGAAGGTAGTATAAAAATCATATGATTATTTTAGTAGATGTAAAAGAGGCATTTGATAAAATTTAGTATTTTTATAATAAAAGTCTTGAGTATATTAGATATAGAAGGATCATACCTCATCATAATAAAGGATATGTAGGATAAATATAAATGCAAATCATACTAAAGGGGAGAAAACAAGGCATTTTCCCAATATCAGGAATAAGAGTGTCCACTCATCAGTCTTACTCAGGATATTATTAGAAATATTACCAGAGAAATTAGGAAAGAAATAGAAATAAAAGGCATAGTTGGAGGAAATGAAGAAGTCTAATTATCCATGACAACAGATTATATGATTATATACTTTGAAAACACTAAAGAAGCCACCAAAAGACTATTAGAACTGGATAAATGAATGCAGTACAATAACAGTATACAGAATTTTCATGCAAAAATCAGTACCTTTTCTATATATCAATAGTGAATTTGCTGAAAATGAAATCACAACAGCAGCCTCATTTATAATAGCCAGAAAAGAAGAAAAAAATACCTGGGAATAAACTTAACAAAGAAAATGCTACAATTTGAATTATAAAACACTGATCAAAGAATAAAGAAGACACAAAAGTGGAACCCATATTCATGGGTTAAAGAATCAATATAGTAGAGCTGTGGCTCAAAGTGCTAGAGCACTAGCCTTGAGCTGAATTGCTCAAGGACAGTGCCTAGGCCCAG